TAATGACTGCTAAATGAACACAATGAAACAGCACTTCTCTCCAAAATGCACTGAGCCTAAACAGCAAGGGTAGAAACTGAGAATAGTCACATTTAAAATTAGACTTTGGAGTTCAAGTAACTAATTTCAGGCATCTAAATATTGCGGTTTTTAATAGTTGTGTCACATTTCTATTTCAAGCAAAAATAGACACCGTCAGCCCAGTTGAAATGAGAATTCACACACACACACACACACACACACACACACACACACACACACATATTAGCACATGAACATTAGAATCAAATTTATGCCAATTATGAACACAGAACAAATTTTTTGAAAAGCAGCTTGATTTAAAAACCTCTGGGACTCCAAAGGCTCAGGGGATCCTTAGGACTTTTTTTGATTGCGGATCTCCAAGGACTTCTTATATTTGCACATTTTAGGGATTACAGATGGATTGCTGACTGTACCCCAGGCCCTGTGTGAGGACTTGTTGGATGGGAAGGCTTGTTATCTGCAATCTCTTCCAGCACTCCAGGATCCTTCTTCCTCACTTTCCCGGAAGCAGTGCATAGGAGCAGGGGTGTTCACTAGTGTGTGTTCTTTAGAAAAACATTGACTTTCTTTTTCCTTTGTTCCATGCTGGTAGATGGGAGAAGTCAAAGATGTCAGGGAGGTTTGAAGGATGACTTGAGGGAGACACACCCCATACAGCATTTTTCCAGCTTACTGAGATTTGGCTGTTTCACTGAGCTCAATATATCATTTAATTTAATAGCACAGTGCCTAGATTCGCTAAGCTACTTTTAAAAATTAAACGTAGAATACAGATAGTGGAGTTCATAAAGTTCTATGAAGAGATAACATGATTTTTCTTTCAAAGGTAAATGAGGAATTTACTTTTCAACTGTACTTGGGGTGCTGCATATTTGATCGTTTTAGAATCCTAGTGTAAAACAAACAGGAACAACCCAAAATGTTAAAAGCTTCCCTCTTCACTTTCTCCAAGTCATGATGACTCAGACCACAGTTTTCCTGGCATCTGAACTTTTAGAAAAACATTTTCTTTCTTACTTTCTGAAAGTGAATCAAATGGCAAATGAAGCTTTTTTCAAAAGTCTCTTTTCTAATTTGACAAGGACATTTTCCTTCTAAAAGCATTGTATTGTGACTGTGATTATTTTTCAGATGAAGAAATTAATTGCAAAGAGTATTCAGTTTGGAAAGTTTGTGAGCCACTTCTGAGGACCAATTATCTTCTGTTCCCCTTTTATTTCTCCAAAGAGGAAGATGTTTATTTTTTTATGTGCTTGCTATGCTTTCTACTTTTTCCATAGCAGTAGAGAAGTTTGCCACTCTCAAACCGATCTCCTTCAGCTCCTCTGCCTGTAATTTCCCATCAGAACTGAGTCACAGTGGACATGCATTTGCTTTCAAGTGTTCCCTTCCTGTTGCCTTCACTGTGATCTTCCACCCACCTGCATCTGGACCTCAGCAGCTGCCTCTCTTGTCCCTGACCTCCTGCCCACCTCTGGTCAGTCCTCTTGTGAGGCTTCTCTGCTCTGCATCAGGGTCCCTCAGAACTAAGGAAACTCTTGACTCCTTGACTAGGGACACTTTTCCATACACCTGCTCTGTACCTAAACTCATTTTAGGCTCATTTATAAACCACAGTGCTCCTATTCCTTAGCTAAGCCCTCTTGATTTCATAACATACCTGCTACTTATCTTAGAAACTCATCATCAGCTGAAAATCCTCTAAATAAAAATACACGGAATGCACCCCACTATCGGGTCCTGACCTAGATCCTGTCTCCCAAACGAGTGTGCTGCGAAGGCTTAAGCAAATGAGACAAGTGGTATGATTTTAGGGCTCCAGGAGGGTCAAAACCCTTTTGCTGAGCTCGAGACTCTGAGGGCTAGGACAAAGACTTCTCTGGACCACCCATATTTATTAGGTCCATAACAAAGGGCGGGGAAACTAAGGAAAGTGTGGGAAATGAACAGGACCTTGCGAGTCACTTCAAAGACTTCTCCAGGTAGTAAATTATGCCAATTTAGGAGAACCATCTTATATTCAGGATGACATTAATGGTAGGAGTGAGACTGCAGGAGTGAAATATCTTCAGCTGCAGTCTCTATTTACTTAATTAGTATAGAAGCCAAGGTGTCTTCAGCTGTGGCCTTATCTTGCCCTTTGAGGTATCTCTGGCCTCACAGGCCACTACAGGCCTCAGCCAGTGATTCATAGAGGTGCACTTACTATGAATCAGCTCCCGTCGCCAGGCAAGGGGCCGAGGCCTAGGACAGACTCACAGATAAACATAGAAGGCCAATGAGTTCATTTTAAATCCTGCTCAGAGCCGCTTTGTAGTGGTCTCCAGCACCTGACCTGTGGATCATGCTGGCTAGCGATACAGTGTACCGAAGAGTGCAGGGTATTCACCTCGTGATCTCTGGGCTGACCGGGAACCTACACCCACTGCCACTGCCCAGCATACTGAGACAAGATGGGATGGATGGACCCAGAGGGCATCATGTTAAGTGATATACTATACGCTAGACTTGGGCTCGTGAATGCAGGAGTAAACAAGTTAATTCAGCTGAACAAAAGGGAAACGGGAGAACGGGCCCTACCCCGGGCCCCGGACAAATCAATGGGGTAAATCTACCGTATTCTCCCTACAACCTTCCATAAACCACATGTGCCACTGTAAATATTCTGGCTCCTTTAAAAGAATTTTGGCCAAGGCTTTCCAATCATAAGGAGCAAGATTACCATACTGATCTGCTACTGATGTTATTAATTCTCTAGTGTAATGAGCCTGAGGGCCATAAAGGGTTACAGCCTTTTTTAATTTTGCTAAATCATCCATATTAAATGCTTCCCATCTAGGGGGAACTGCCTCTCCATCTATTGGCTGTGGCCTGATTACAGGGAAAGCAAAGGCAGGCTTTTCCTCATCAGAATCCCCTAATTTTGGTAGATCAGCCAAAGCTAGCTTGGCTTTACTCCAATTAGGGTTAGATGGAGGAGGTGCAGAGGGAACTACAGGCGGGTTCTGCTTAACGGAGAGTTGTTTCACCTCTTGTGTTAAATGCTGTATAGCCTGTAAAATTGGGCGATTGTCATAATTTGATATTGCTGCGGCAGCTAAAGCTGAGTCGGCTGTAGTGGATTTTACTTTTAGTTTGGACGCCTTTTCACTACTTAAAGCAATAGCGTCATTTTGAACTACATTCTGCTCCTCCTCTGTGAGGGGCAATTCCTGAATAACTGGCTTAATTTCTAGTTGAAGATTTTCTACAATATGTTCATCTTCCATAGCTTTTAATAAAGAGTACACAACTGACCAAATAGCCCAAAAACGTAAAGGAATCTTCTCCTCCTGTTGCATAGCCCTTTCTATACTAACCCTTGCCTTCCTCCATACTTTTACATCCAAAGTTCCTTCATCTGGAAACCAAGGATTATATTCTTTAATTGTATCAATACACATATCCAAGTCAGCTGACCTGAGCGATATGCCATATATAGATAATAAATGTTTAAGAATTTTTAAGAAAGGAGAAGAAGCAGATTGTCCCATTTCCCCGTAATAAAATTATACTTACCTTCCTAAGCGACCTTCGGAGTCCCTGTTCGGGCGCCACTTGTCGTGAGTGTTTTAGAGCACTCTGAACTCTGGGCAAGGTAAACACGCACACACGCCTGATCGGGACACGGGGGGTACAGTGCTCGGAAAAGAAAGACAGGAGAGACACCTTTACTGTCTGCACCGCGTTATACTGCACTGCACGCACAATCTTTATTTTAGGATTTATATATAGTAAACCCGATCAGTTTACAGAGCCCAGATAATTAAGTAGTGAAAAGGCATTCTTTGTGGCAAGCTACAACGTGACAGACTACAATGTTTATTCTAAAGCTATCTAAGTGAAGTAAATAATCACAACCAGTTCTCATAACTTCTCTAGCCCAGGAAGAAATTCATTAGCTCAAGAATGTTGTTAATTTGTCTGCTGTTAGTGTCACAAAGGGTGGCCAGCCACTTCCTCAAGACTTCTGCAAAACAAAGCCAGCTCACAGTATGGATTCCAGAGGGTGAGGGGCTCACTGAGAACAGGCATTCCTATTCTACCTCCTTCTCGCATACCAGGGCGGCTATTGTAAATTGCAGGTTAGAGGGGGTTGGGCCTACAAAGTGACACCTCATCCCCCACAAGAGATGAGTCCTACGTGGTCTCCCTTATACGTGGGAGCTAAAATAATCAACCTAAGACCTGAAAGTAGAACAGTGTTTACTACAGTTTGGGAAATGGCTAAAGGGAGGTTTGATTTGGTCAGTGTGCACTGTATGCATATGTTGAAATATCACAGTGAACCACATTTATACATGCAACTGATGCCTCTTAATCAGAAATAAAATAAAATGTTTTTAAAAAACTTTCTACTGAACTCAGATCACTTTTACTCCCTTATACAATTGGAAAAGATGAAGTCAGTCATCATGAGTTGGGGACTATCTGCATCTGTGACTGCAGAAGCTGGGCTCAAGCTCAGAGGACCAGATTTCTCTTAATCTCTGACTCACTTGAGAAGAATCTTGATTGATAGTAGTGGCTGGTGGGTTTTGGCCCCAGCACCCTGACCACAGAAATGAAGTTGAAATTGGGGAGAGTGCATTCTGGGGTGCTGATTTTAAAAACTGGAGTCTTAACTGCTGAAAGAAGGAGAGAGAGAGAGAGAGAGAGAGAGAGAGAGAGAGAGAGAGAGAGAAAGTGGCACGAATTCTTGTACACCATGGTGTAGCCACTGCAGCAAGGCCGGTGAGGGGTCCAGAATGCCCCATTTGTGTTTTGTTTAGTTTTCCTTTTGTGGGAGGGACAGATGTCTCCTCCCTTGACAGGTCTGCCTTCTGTGCTGAAATGAGCAGGTAGCTGTTTCCTCTGGGTGTTTAAGCGGAGACTACCAGGCACCTGGTAAATGGATCTCTTTCTGTCCCCCCAAGGGAAGCCATCAGCCGTGTTTGCGAAGCAGTGCCCGGTGCCAGAGGAGCCCTCAAGAAGAGAAAGGTACAGTGCTGTGGGTCTGGATCATCCTGGTTGCTTCCTTTCTCCCATCCCCGCTCCTCAACCACACAAGTGTTCCCTGCCTTCTCTCCGGGGCCTGATTATTCTCCTACCTAAGAGTAAAGAGGCCGAGATTGCGCTCCCCGTGTGGTGTGGTGAGGGCAGTGCGCTGTCACTGCTGACTGACAGCAGATTCCCAGTTGCCCACCAGGGCTTAGAGACACTAATAGCAGGTGCCCGGCCAGGCTGTCCTTGAAGGAGTTACATGAACTCACTGTATCATAACAGCTCACTGGAGAGGTCCAGCATTGCACTGAGGAATGTGTACCAGCAGCTTCTGGGATGGGAACTCGTGGCACTGGCCCGATTCTGTGGTGTATTTCCACATGGGTGGTGGATTGCAATCTTCCAACATGACATCCCTGGAACCAGAGTCCGTGAGAGACTTGTAGTATTTCATCATTAGACAATGTTTCTGCCACACACGCTTAGCAGATGTTAGAAAAGCATAATTAGTAGTTACTGGAGTGAAAATCTTTAGATTTGGAAAGAGTGTTGGGTATTTATTATGTTTTTAAAACTATAATCTCATTAGGAGTTTGTATAAATTAATTTTTAATAATAGCTGTGTTTAATGTCCAGCTTATGTAGTTCCTAAAACTTTAATAGTTGGCGCTTATTAGCTGGTACAAACCAGCTCTGCACAGAACTGGAGCTCTTGGAGCTAGAGGATCAAGACCGAGGTACAGAGCTGAGAGCCACAGTGAAAAAGACAGGAGCTGAGGTCAAGCTCCATCTCCCATCCCAGAGGCTCAGTTGAAGTTTTCATCTTGAATATGTTTGAACTCGAAGAAAACAAATCTGAATTAAGAGAAATCACAGGAAAGCTCTTTTTAGTGAAATGTTTAGTAAGTATGTAATTTCAGTACCCATGATCATGCCTTTCCTATGCCAAGATGGAATTGTGGGGAAAGCATGCCTTGGTGAACCCTGAAACTACCCTGAGGACAGTCCTCTGGGATTCCAGACCCGTGGGACAGGTGCTGGCTTCCCTGTGTCATTCCTGGGGCTCCAGGGAACATCCATGTGTGCCCAGGGCAAACGAGCATCAGGCAGAAACTGTGGGTGACAGCTTTGGGGTGCCCAGTCCACCAAGCTGAGCTCCAGAATCTTGAATATGGGAGCTAGGTGTGCATCAGGGAGCCTCATCTCTGACAGTTAAGTGGTACTATCAAGTCTTGGGGTCCTTTCATGGTCCTCATGGTAGGAGGAGGTGGAGTCAGTGCCGACTCCTGGCTTCTCCTCAGGTGTACCTGACCCGAATCTCAGGGTATCTCTAACGAAGAAGAAGTCTTTCAGCAGTGTTAGCTAAAAATAAGAGTGGCACAGAGATCAAAGAAAACAGCTTTTATCTGGGAAGTAAAGTGTTCCAATTCTGGCATATTGAATTAGGGCAACCCCAGTGGTCCCCTGAGGCAAGAGCAGGCGGGAGTTTTTCATAGATGATTTCCATAAAAAGTTATTTTTGGAGAGAGTTTATTGGCTGGGCAGAAACCCTAAGTGGAAAACCCATTTTGACTGGTGAGTTAATTAGGGAACCTCTGACAGGGAGACACAAAAGGTTGGTGGAGAGACATTGATTGTGGTGGGTTCTCTGAGTCTGCTGGAACCTTCTGTGGCCTGACCTTCCGCAGGTGGGGTGCACCCCTCCCAATCTCCCTACTTGGCTCTAGAAAGCTTCAGTCTTAGTTACTTCATTTTCTTTCCCAGGAGTTTGGAAAGGTGCACGTCCAGTTAGGGACTAATTGGCATTTCGAAAGAGGATGTTTTAATCCAAACTGAAAGGATGAGTTGGTCCCAAAAGACAGAGGGATGAGGGTTGGCACTGCTCACCCAGGCGCCTGTGGAGAAGACACCAAGCTGGGAAACGCAGCCCTCTGAGCCCAGGGATGAAGGGCTTTTCAGACACATGGTGGAGATACCAGCTGTGGTCTGTGGTTCTGTGCTGGTTCCAGGCCATGGACTGTAACTGGACAGTGTCAGTGGGCCTGACAGGAAGCCATGTGTGCAGAGGATTTGTGGCCTCTTCCCTTCAGCCATGAGTGTGGTCGAGAATCTCTTGCCTCTGAGATTTCTGCCCTCCCTCAGATTTCCCCGAGAGGCTGTCTGCCCTTGGTTTGCTGAAGCCAGTTTCTGAGCGTGCAAAGCTGTGCTGTTCCTGGTTTGTGACATTTTCCCCAGGTTTACACCTAATGGCCCCCGTGAGATGTCCCTGTTGATACACAGGTGGCCAGGAGGAATGGCATCTCTGCTCCCTGAGCCTGGCTTTGGCATTTGCGTGATAGCTCTCTTACGGTTCACGGGGTGCCTACCCTAGAACGTGCGTCCGAGCACTGCCCTGCCCTCCTAGCGTTCCTGTGCCTGAGCAGGGCAGGGGCAGCCAGGGTGGTCTGAAGGAGCAGCCCACATCCACGGCTCCACCTGTTTAGATGAGAACAGCGCATTTTATTTACCAGAGGCCCTGTCACTGAGGCCTCCCTGAGCAAAACTGTACTGAACTACTGCTGTCAATTTCACAGCCTCCAAGCAAAATGCTTTCCAGCATCCTGGGAAAGAGCAATCTCCAGTTTGCAGGGATGAGCATCTCTCTGACCATCTCCACCGCCAGCCTGAACCTGCGAACGCCTGACTCCAAACAGGTGGGCACTCGCTCAGACCTCCTGAGGGCTCGCAGATCTTGTGGGACATGCGTTTTTGTCAAGTCTTGACTATTCTGTGAATTTAAGTCATTTTGAAGGCTTACCAGGAAAATGATGAATGGAATTGGTTGTTTTTAATTCTGCTATCAGTTACCTTTTGGGGAGAATAATGTGTGAACTTGTTGTCTTGCTTGCAATATGAGAAAAGGTGATGTGTGTGCAATTGTCTTCTCTCAATGTCCTTGTCCTTTTATAACCACATTTTATTGGTTTTATAGGCCACGTTTTCATTTTATCACTTTTAAAATGAGTAGAATGCATAGTCTCGTGACTAGCATTTCTTCCTCGGAGGTGCATCATGTTGGAGCATCTTATAGTTTATAGTGCTGTAGGGTTCACACAATATGGTGTATCTATGGCATAGATAGGCTGGAATGAATTCTGAGCAGAGCAAGGCGACACAGCCATGTTTATTACCGTTAATTCCATCTAGGAGGGTCGTGTTTCCTTCCATTCCGAGTCTGTCTTCTGGGTTCCTCGGATCCAGCTGTCATTGGTTTCTTCACTGGAAATACCGGTTTGTAGATAACCATGCTGTCTACCAGCAAGACAGTTTGAAGGTCAAAGGAGATGGAAATGCTTGTGCAATAGAAAGAGGCGTGTGGGGTGTGGACAAGTGCTGACAGTGACAACTGGCAGTGGTGCAAATCACGCTACTTCTGGGTGACACGCATCCTGATTCTAGCATGTAGCCAGGGATACGCACGGCTACCTTTGCGTTGCTCCATGCATTTCTATTAATGACCTTCTGTAGGTAAGCAAGCAGCATCCCCAGCTTCAGTTATTCCCCCACTTCCCATCCAAGATGTGGAAATAAATTCTAGATCCAGTGTAGAACATGAATCCACATCCAAGCTCAGACATAACTGCTCTGTTCCTGCTCTGTTCTTCTGTCCTGGGATCCCTAGCTAATCCCTTGGTTGTCACATCACCTCTCCTAATGACTGATTAATGGGCCAATGAGGCTTTGGATAAGAAGACCAGGTGGCTCTGCCCTTCTCTGAGCCATTGCCACTGTGCACCGAGGATGGCCTTGCCCCTGTGCTGCCACTCACCCATCTAGTCACCTGCCACATGGCACAGGAGCCATGGAGCCCTGGGACTGGAGCCCTTCATCATTCCATGGGATCCGAACCCCAGACACCTCCTCCTCTCTCACAAGCTCAATGAAAGTGACGGGCAGAAGAAAGATGCCAGGACATGGGCTGGGACCACCCTGGGACAGGGTGCTGGCTGTGTGCACACAGCTGGTGCTTTCTGGCCCTAGAGTTAGGAGGGTGGGCCTGAGGCCTGGGCTGCGGAGGCTCAGTGCTGCTGGCTCCCATGACGAGGGCACAGTCTGGGGCAGGCTGGGCGGAGGCAAAGCGCAAGGTTCTGGTTCTCCGCTCAGCTGACCTTGAGTCCAGCCTGTGGTACAGTGGGGGTGGTCTGGCGGACACTGCCCTCTCCTGAGAGCAGACAGACAGCACCTCGGCGTTCCAGCCAGTTCCAAGGAGGAGGAGGATGCTGATGACACCCTCAGCACAGAGGCGCATGTTGTACATCAGAGCTACTTAGGTCTCATTTTCTCACTGCCTTTGGTAATTCCATGAAGGGATTAGATAACAGTCACACAGTCATGGCCCTGCATCGTGTGGATCAAATAGCCCTTCCACCATTTCACCTAGATCACAGCTTCCACTCCCAGTTAATTTCTAAACTCCAGGTTTGGAGCTGCCTGGTAAGCAAAAAATGAAATAAGTAAAAAAAAAAAATCAAATACAAAAGAACCAATTACTCAAACATTAAAACTAGTTTGTCATTCTTCAGGAATTTCTGTTCCCCTTGTTCTCGCCTTAGGAGCTGACTGCCTGTGTCCCCAGACAAGATTCTAGGCTATTATTAGTTAAGTCTCCAAGGTCTTGCTTGTCACAGGCTACCCTGAGAGCTCTGCTGGTTTGGATCCTCTTCAGTACTCAGGTTTTCCTAGATCCAAAGTTCTGCAAATGCCAACAACCGAAGTAGGCATTTAAACACTTATCATTTTATTTTATAATTCTTATAAACACTTGTCATTTTATCTTATCATTCAGTTACATTTTATTTCAGAGATTTATAGGTGCTTGTTTGGAAAATCCCCTCGGCTCTGGTGACGGGGGCTATGTGAATTCTAGCTGTCTGCTTGGGGCTGAGGGTCTGGGCACCGTGCAGAAATGGACCTGCTTGCATTTAGGCAGAGGCGAGAGCTCCTCTCCCCCCTGGAAATTTACTTCAATGTCATTACATTGCCTTTAAATAGCTAAAAATAGCTTAGAAGACTTATGTGGCTTTTTAAATTTAGGGCAGGTTCTAATTTACTCAGTGTCTACTAAATTCCACTGTGTGCTGCAGTTTATCAAGCTAATGGAAATTTCCCATTTTCAAAATTAACTTGGAAAGTCCTCTCTGGTTTTTAAATTGATAAATGACAAAATGGTTCAGATGGCAGCAACTTGGATCTTGACTTTCTAATTTACAGGAGTTGTTTAAATGGATGGAGGGAGAGGGTGAGCCGCAGCCTCCCTCATCCTGCGGGGTCACGGCGTCTGCAGGACATGGGGAAGCAGCAGCCCTGAGGGCAGGCAGTGAGATGCTTTACCTCTGGAAGAGGCTCGGTTGGTCTCGAAGACCCTGGTCTCAGGCCGCAGGTTGTGATTATGGTGCAAGCCCTCTTCCGCTGATTAACCTCCTCATCCTCCCCACTCGCAAGGGTTTCTAATGATTCTGCTTCATAACTGCTGGCCGGAAGGACTAAAGGAGGTCGTTCTGGTCAACCAACTGCACCGCATCCATTGTGATGGCCGTGCACCATCTAAAGGCCAATCTATTGGCATGTGTTTCCAACTGTTACTTTCATACGTTGATCAGGTTTCAGGAAGACTCATTGGCTTGCATTGCTTGCCCACAGACACTAGGTTTTGCAAGTGTGGAAAGGGGCACTAATTACACATCTCGTTTCTTGTTTTGGGCCTGGCAGATCATCGCCAACCATCACATGCAATCCATCTCCTTCGCCTCGGGGGGAGACCCGGTAAGTCCCTTGGGTTCCTTTCTCTTGTTGGGGCTTTCTGAGTGGGGACCCAGCTTCAAAAACACTGTAGACATTGTTCAGGGTTAACTGTGATGTCAGCTTTTTCCTTCTCTTGATTTCCGAAGCTCTCCTTGACTGTCATTCAGAGAAGAACCTGAGATGAAGACCTGTCATTAGTTTCCTTTCATTCTGTCGCTCAGAACTGGCAGCAGTTCCAAAACATCAGCTTCTGAAAACAGTGCAGTTTTCAGAGTTGCCGGGGTCTTCTCACACAGTCGCCCTTGCTTTTTCTTTTTCATATTGGACCTCCAAGCCCAGCACCTGCTCACTGTGTGCTCGCTGTGGACATCCAGCCCCCAAACGAAGTCCAGGAAGAAGCCAGCGGAGAGGGGAACAGGGCTACAGGGTTGGGGGAACAAGGGCAGCCCTGCCTTGCAGTGAAGGCAGAAAGGCTCAGCACTCACTTGCTCTCCTGCCAAAGTGTTGTTATACTTGTTTTTGCTGGTCTGGGTAAAGCGCCTATCAGTCCAGGGAGATCGTTTTAAAATTAAGAAGATAAAGTGAAAAATTGGAGCCAAATTGAAAAAGATTGTTCTATATTCTATTAGTCAGCGCTCCCATTGCCAACACCCACAGCTTAAAGGAGGTGAGTCTTAACTGGCTCACAGTCCAGGGGGTTCAGTCCATGGTCACAGCTCCAAGGCTGGAAACTGCTCGGTTCATGACAGCTGGAAAGCAGAGAAGGGGAACAAGAGTGGAAAAAGGATCTGACATGGTACCTACAACCACCTATCTGTGACTCACCTGGATGCACCCGGGGTGCCTTTTCTAACTTGCTAGGGGTTTCTTAATCCAAAGAAGTTTACATGGCAAAATTAACAGTCATGTGTATCTTGAGAGGTCTTCTTTACTTTTTTGGTTGCTAAGTAGGTTTTTGATAGTAAATGATAGTAGTTTATAGATTGTGGTTTTGTATTATTTGGCCAAACTCTCCGTAGGCAATCCTCAGGTTTCATACGAAAATATACCTGTCCAAGACAGCCAGTAGGCAGTCCTCCTTATCTCAAGGACAGGGACCCTGTGTGTTTCTAGCTGCAGGAGGGAGATTTTCTTCATGACCTTCCTGCCCCTTTTCTGGATCCCTTCTACCTGGGTACTTGATCATAGTTGATCATAGTACCACTGATCATAGTACCACTGATTACATGCTGGAAGGGAAACTGCGAGAGGGATTTCAACAGCAGATTCCAGAGCCTCTGCATTCCTAGTGGACAGTATAAAAGGGTTGCATGCAGGTGCCCCTCCTTCCTCAGCTGCAGCAACTACCAGGGGCAGGTCCAGCTGGTGCTGCTGGTTCCTCCCAGGGCTGCAGTAACAGCTGAGAGCGGCTGGGGCCTCCCTTCCTCCCCCCTCTCTTCCTCTCCCTTATCCGGATGGGGTCATAGTTTTGTAAATGCGGGGTGCAACCCAGTTTGAAAAAATAAAGACAGATATCTTACTCATCTGTATCAACAGCTCCTTTCAGGAATTCTCTGGAACCTTATCTTAATAATAATATTATGAGTGCAGATACAACTATCTCAATCATGGGAAGACAAATACTTGCCATGGGTTGAAATTATTTTATTCTCCAGGATACACACAGGACTATGTATTTGCAAAATTTCTTCATAATATCTTCATTTAAAATACAGTAACATTTGTGACAATCCATAACTTGTTAGGAATCTGTGACTTCTGATGTAGAAAAGGTCACGATCCAGGACAAAGAAAACCTCATGGTTTTCCTTTTTTAAAAAAGTTATTTTGCAAAAATACCAAAATTTCATATATAGTATGAGAATAATAATAGTTGCAGCACTGTGTCCTGTGGCCTTCAGAGTACAAGATATAAACCAGAAGTATTTTTACAAAAAAGAATCAAACAGATTATAACACAAATCTTTGTTTTCAAGAAACTAAGATGAATTAGTAGCATACATGAAGCCAATGAGCCCATATATTTAAATATTTAAATACTTCTAAAACAGGAGGATTTGCAACTTGGGGAAACATTTGAACTTCTTTCTATTTCCTATTTATATCCCTACTATTTTGCTCTTTGTGTTTCTCATATAAAACAGTCCAAATGCCTATTAGGTCATGCATGGGATTCCATTTCAAATTGATTTGTAACCAAGAGTTTGACACAATTGATAGGTGTTCTCAGTAAAACCAGCACCCTCGATTCCAGGCCTTATTCTGCTACTAAGTGTGTGTGTCACTTATTCCTGCTTTAGTCTACCCAGTAGGAAAATGGTAGGCAGAAATGTCAAGTAACCCAGACTGGAAAACTTTAATATTCTCCAAAGCAGGGCACATGCTGGCTACCACATGCTGTGATCGGCAGTGTTGAAAAACCTCCAAAAGATGAGGAACATCAGAAGTTTGCAGCCAGCCTGGGCAACTTAGTGGCTTATCAAGAACCTGTCTGAAAACAAAAAAACAGACCAACTGGACTTGTGTCTCAGGGCAGAGCTCTGGTTTCAATCCCCAGTACCACAAACCATAAACAAAAACAAAAAACCAAAGACCACTAACAGAATGCTCACACGAGATCAAGCACTGGGGGTCTTGGGAAGTGAAGACAGGGTTAGAAGAAATCAGAATAAGAATTTTCCAGCCCCTGTTTTGAACTCAGTGCTCTCACTGTGTAGCTAGCCAAAGCCAGGAGCAGTTTTCTCAGCCCTGTGTGCCCCCTCCCATGCCAGAAAGGGCTCCAGCTGGACATGGAAACAGCACGTCTGGACCTGGCTGCTGGCTGTCTCACGGACATCTCCTTGTCACTGGTCTTCCTTCCTCAACTGTGAGCCATAGTGGAGTTTCTCAAATTAGAGGAAGAATTCTTTAAAAATTCCTGTATATACCAGGAGTGCCGACTCAAATTCAGTTTGTTACCAGAATGTGTACAAAATTAATGAATTGACTCTTTGTTTTTATACTTTGTATTGGACCCCAAAACCCAATCAAATTTATTTATTTATTTTTTTTTTTTGGTCTTTTTCCTTTTTATCGGTACCAGGGATCGAACTCACGACTGACTGCTTACAAGACAGGCGCTTATGCCGCTGAGCTAAATCCCCAGCCCAACCCAATCAAATTTAGATATTAAACACAAAGTAATACTGAAACCAGTACCATTCAAAACGACACAAACTCTCTGTGTGCAGAGTGGGCTGAACCTGAATCTCTGCTCCCAGTGGACAGACTCTCAAGCCAAATCCTTTTGAGTCCAGAATTTATGGGCATTTTGGTAACTTAATTCTTCCACTGATTTCCCCTATTTAGAAAAAACTTCAATCGTGCATCACTATGTACAAATCTCACAGCAGCTTGCTTCAAATAGGGTAAAGACATCTGGACTCTGACCATGCTTTTCTTTATAGTTATTTAAAAATCTATCACCTATCAGGTAGGAAGCCCAGTTGTAAATCTTAGCGCTGAAATTGCATGGCCCAGGTGATACTGTGGTCATCTAAATGATCCTGGATATTCTCATAGTAACTGTTTGAGATCACCCTGGAAATGAAAGTATAAAATAGGAAAACACGTTCTGTTGGCTCCCATAGGCTGGGAAGACCCCTTGTATTCCTTGGCACTGAGTCTGAGGAACTCTGGTCATCTCTAGGGCGTGAGCAGAGGCACGCAGAGATCCTTCCAGCCCACATCATGTGAAGCCACTGGACTTTGTGGCTACAAGCTGCACTCTGTGTGTCTGGCAGTGGCTTCTAGTTCTCACCAGATCCTTCCAGATGAAGTGTCCAGGACTCAGTCTGATGATCTCACTGCCTTTTTCTCCTTTTCATTTTGAGACAATGTCAGTGAACAGGAAAGGAAGCTACTTAGATGAGACTCACCCTGGGGAATGACCTGGGGTAACTGTGCCCCGGTCTCACCTGAGCTGGAACAGCTCCACCAGCTGTGCAGACTGGGGGTGGTAAGGAGAGCAGCGGCAGCAGCCCACAGTGCACCAGCAACCCCCACCCTGCCCCCGGTGCTGCAGAGAACCACAATCCTCACACCTCTGTCCTGTGCCCCTGTGCCTGCAGCACTTTCCAGAGCACTGCTGAGAGGGACGGGACTGGCCACTGCTTACAGACACTCGCCATGGGGGCTGCTGCTGGCAGGGAGCTTGTCAGTCTCCCCGAGTCCCTGCACCCCTTTGATGCCCTGCGAGACGATGATACATTAGGCAGTAGCTGGAAAGTGATGTGGTGTTATTACCAGCTGCCCCTCTGAGATCATTTTTGAATGCTGAAGCTGTCAACCCGGCAGAAAAGTCTTTCCAGCTTCCAGGAATGAAGAGAATGATTGGCTTTTTGATTATTTGTTTAGAAAAGTATGCACACGGCTGCCCTGGTATAATTTTGTCGTCTTTCTTTCCACAATGCACTAGGTCATTGAAAAGGCAGAGCAAGAAACTCTCAGATCCCCTGTACCAGGGACTGAACCCAGGATCTCAGCACTGGACAATGTCCCCAGTGCTTTTTAAATTTTACTTTCTTATCTTTCTTGTCCCTCTAAGTCCTTAGAGTTGCTCAGGGTGCACTTGAGTTTGCTGGCTTCCTGTCTCAGACTTCTAGAATACTGGAATTTAATCTCAAAGGATTAAAGTCATTGTTTATGTCCAAGAAGAAAAGAACGATCTTACCTCCTCCATGCATGAGGATGAGTTTGCAACCAGCCTTTGAACACCAATTTGGTTTTCTTGTAGACCAGTAGTTCCTGAGGCCTCGTCCCCCAAACCAGCAGCTGCTGTAACTTATCAGAAATCCACTGCGGGGCCACAGTCCAGACCCAGTGGGTAGGAACCTCTGGGGTGTGGTCCAGCAATCTGTTTGAGCCCTCGTGGGGATTTTGACACCGAGTCAAATTCATGGGGCCCTCATGTAGATATCACAGGCAGCAGTGATTCTCAGCTTTGGTTTGCATTATTATCACTTAGGAGTCACATCCAAACCAGTAAAATCAGATTACCTGGGCAGTAGGAGTCAGGCGCAGTGATTTTGAAGCTGCCTGGGAGATGCAATGTGCAGAGACCAGGGGGCTTTCATTCTTGCTGCTTTTGGTGTGGCCGTGGGCTGGCACCACCAGCACCAGGGCTCTGGTCGGAAATGCCAAACCTTCCCTGGCCCAGGCATGCTGAGACAAAATGTACACAAGGTCCCTGAGCACTACATTGCAGTCAGGGACACAGCAGCTCTTCTGTGGGTGGCATTTGACTCCTTAGCTGTGTGGTGGATGTGTCCTTCTCGGCTTGGGGTTTATGTGTTGCACCCCTGTGATATCACCTCGCACCATGATGAGTGATACAGATGTCTCCTTTTTCTTAAACAGGACACCACAGATTATGTTGCCTATGTAGCAAAGGACCCCGTTAATCGCAGAGGTAAGCAAAGTGTAACTGCTCATTCATGCATGGCCAGCTTTAACACCAGATGTTTAGGACCAGATGTTGTCTGTTATCTCTGCTCCCTTCACCAAAGTTAGCATGTGTCACATCATGAAGAGTAATTAAGGTTTTCAAGGCATGGACATCACCTGACAGTGGTAAGAGATGCTGGATGCCACTGGGTATCAAACTCAGGCCTGCATCCAGATGGCTAGTTTGTTTATAGCTGACTTACACCTTAGCAGTTCCTACCCATGCTCTGTGTGGCCCCGGTTACACCCAGAAGGCCCTGCCGCTGCCCGTCTTCCTGCCTGGCTTCAGCTCCTGTGCTGGTTCCCCCTCGCGGTGCCCTGCTCAAGTCTCGATCCTGGTGTTCAAGCTCAGCGAGCTGACTTGGCCAAGGCTGTAGGCTTCTAGGAGGGCCTCAAGCATAGGCTGAATGTGTGGGGTGGGGAGGGGGTCACTACAGAACCAGGGGCTGCTGGGTGACAGTGACCACAGCTGCCACTGAACCCCACTGATGGAAAGCACCCACGGAATGTAGAGCAGTTCTAACAGCATTTCCACTGCCAGCTACCTCCTCCACTCCTCCCCATCCAACTGCTGATTTTCAAGTTTGCTTGCATAATTTTTAAATGCACGCGCACGCACACACACACACACACACACACACACACACTTCCTCCCTCTCTTTAACTTTCAGTCCACATGAGATCTTAGCATTCTGTTTTGCTACCTCCCCCCACGGGTGTCTCTTGGGTGTATTTTCAAGACAACTTGCATAGACAGATGAAAGGATTCTCAATTGGCTCTGCAGGGACTTGCTCTCCAGAGACTCCTGCAAGCTACTTCTTCATCCTTACGAGTCGAGTTTTGTGACTTGACCTAAAGAGCCATTTTCAGAGTCACTGGGTTGGCCAGCTGAAATGTCAGTGGCCCTTGCACACTGACCCCCCCAGCCTGGATGTGAAATTTGCACTCCTGTGTAAGTGTGTGAGGGTCATTTTCCCCTAGGTCTTTACCAACCCTGGATGGTAACGGCTCAGGTGGAAAATCTGGTCCCAGGATGCTTTGCTAACCTAATGCCCAGCCCACCACTTCCTGAGCGGGAGGCAGCTTTTATGTAGTGACTGCAGATAATCAGCATTCATCCTGGGTGAGCAGGGGCACAGACTGTGACAGCACCATCATCGGACCCGCTGAGCAACAGCCCTTTTGCCAACTTAGAGGCTGGCCCAGCATGTCCAAGTTGGCTTCTCTTCTTCCATGCTGCCACTGGCAGGAATGACTGGAAGGCAGCGTCAGCAGGTCCTTCTCCACTCTGTGGAGTCCTGGGGCCTCTACAGGCGACCCTTCCAGCCTTTGTAGCAGGAGAACTTCCTGCATGTTGGCTCTGAGCTCCATGAGACCAAACCCGAATCCTCCAGTGGCCCAAAAAAGTTCATTGTTCAAAGCCTCCCCAGCTAGGTCCAGTTTGTGCAAGGGAAGCCCTGCCCAGGCTCTGAAGAGAGTGTCCAGGAGTCTCAGCTGTTGTCAGTAGTCCATTCTGTCTTTGCTTTCCTCAGTGGAGAAGCCCAGGCTCTAACAGGCATGAGGCAGGGAGGGAGCAGCCCGTGAGCACCACCGCAGAACAGCTGCCAGCACCCCCCTCCCAACATAGAGGAGCAAGCCCGTGGAGGGGGTTCTAGTTGCTTCTCCCCTCCCTTCTCCTCTTGGCTGTTGGGCAGACCAATCAGTGAAACGCTCTGGGTGTTCATGTTCTCATTTGAGCTCTGTGGTCTCTCAGCCCTTATGCAGAGACCCATGGATTGGGGCTCCAATGGGCAGGGCTCTGTGGTCCTTAGCTGTGAGATGGCTCTCCAGATGGTCTGGGTTGGGCCTTTCCGGAAAGTTCCCTGCCCAAGTCCTATCACTGCAGGTCATGCCGCTCAAGGTCATTACTGATGTGTTCCCACTTACATGTGTTTGCATGTGGCTGAGTTTCATCTAGAAGAGTCTTTAATGGGAGTCTACACCTACCTGGTATCAGGAATCCAATCTTCTATGGTTAATACAGTGGGAAGGGAGAATGTCCTTCAGTCTACTCATTAAGTCCTGGGAACCCTCATCCTCTTTTCAAAGTGAGGCCTGCAGGAGCTGGGAGCTTCAGGAGGTCAATGAGCTGGAATTGAAAGCAGGGCCAATAGGAGTCCTGGATGTTGCTATTGAAACTCTTAACATAGAAGGCTTTGCTAAGTACTACCACACCCTTTTAAAAAATTAAATTTTAAAAAGTTTTATGTAATTTTAATTGACACATAATAGTGTATGTTTGTGGGGTACAATATGATGTTTTGATGCGGGCATACAATGTGTAGTAATCAAATTAGAGCGATTACATTCCTGTCCTCTCAAACATTTTTCTTTCTTTGTAATGAGACTGTCTGAAATTCTCTCTTACAGTTTACAGACCAAAAATATTTGAAAAAAGAAAACCTCAACAGTGAAAAGTAACAGTGATAAAAAACAATACAAATAAAAATTGCAATGTAACAAATATTTACATAGTATATACTTTGCAATTATGTATTAGTAGTAAACTAGAGGTGATTTAAGGTATCTCAGAAGATGCATGTAAGTTCTTTGTAGATGCTCTGTCTTTTCATATAAGGAACTGGAATATCATGGTTTTGGTATCCTAGATGGGATGCGTTCTAGAGCCCATGGATTCAGAACGCAGTGCATATTTTCACTGTGGAATGGCTAAATCTAACAGTATCTTGCCTCACACCATCCTAATTTTTAGGGTGAAAACATGTGCTGCTTGTCACACTTTTAAGAACATAATATTATGCCATTAACTGTACTCACCTTGCTGTACAAAGATGCCCTTGAAACCAATCTTCCCTAACTCTAACCATCTGCCTTTGATCCAACATTTTCCTTTCTCTCTTCCTTCTGTCTCATCCCGTCCTCTGATAACCACCTTTCTAATATGCCCTTTGGTGAGATCAAGTCTTTATGCAGTCTGCAGATTCAGTGTTATCCCTATTTTATCCCAATATCAAGCATATTGTTCATAGAAAGAGAAAAACTCCTAAACTACGTATGGAATCTCAAAAGGTCACAAATAAACAAATAACCTTGAGTACAAAACACAAAGCTGGCAGCATCATAAGAGCTGACTTCAAAATACACCGCAAAGCTAGAGTAATCAAAAAAGCATGGCTTTGACATAAACGCAGACACATAGACCAAGTGAACAGAATAGAATGCAGGGATGCCTTCATAGCTGACTGATTCCCACAGAAGTGCTAAGAATTCACACTGAGGATAGGACAATTTCTCCACTAGCTGGTGCTGGAAAAAGTGCATAGCCCCATGCAGAAGGATACAAGGAGATCCTGTCTCCCATCATCCACAAAACTCAGGTCACAATAGAGTAAAGATGTGATGGTAAGACCCTCACACAGTTGAACTATTAGAAGAAAACTACTGCAGGAAAACACATGGGAAATGTTTCATGACATTGGTCTGGGCCAGGAGTTTTGGAGATAAGAGCTCAAAAGCACAGGCAACAGCAACAACAACACAATAGACCAATGGAAATACATCAAATTACTAATTAGTTTTAACTGAACTAAACCTCCCAGAGAGAAACCATAAATTAGAGCTATGCTAAAACACTAACTGTAAAGTAAGGTCATACTCCCTTAATGGCGGGACAAAGCTCCCAAGACCCAAGGGGAGGCTGATGCCTGAGGAGAGCACCCAGCATATTAGTTTGGTGCCTTTTCAGCCTTTATTCGCACTTAGCGTGCTCTGTGGCTGTGACTGTCACAGTTTGCGGTGTGACAGCAAAGCCAGCAAGAGTTTCTTCCGCATGCTTCACAATTTTAGGTTTTGCAGGTAGCAAACTGGATTCTACGGTGGTCCTTCCTTAAGTCAGTGATGTTAGAATTTCCATGTCACACCTGCGGGCTTCTCCCAGCACCTGTGAATGGCCACTGTTCCTGGCCTTGTGCTGCAGGGCCTTTGTGCAGTGGAGTCAGGGCTATGTGCACACGAGCCCTTCACAGGCATGGATCTGCTGGCTATGACATCACTCATTCTCGGAACAATATGTAGTGTAAAATGTATGAGTTGTTTTTTCTTTTGAATGTTCAAAGTTTGAACATTTATTATCCTAAAAGACATACTGCCATTAACCCCCCTTCCCAAAATATCCCCCTGCTTCAAGCATGCTTAGTTCATTGATCTTGCCACTTTCTACCCCCCCCCCCCGCTTTCCTTTTTGTATATTTTTATTTGCATATGCTGTGCATAGTAATTGCATTTGTCTTGGGGAACTGGTACCAGTCTGACGGCCTCTAATCATTTTTATTTCCCCTTCCCTGCTCCACCCGCCTGTCTCCCTCACCCAGAGAATTTTCCTTGTAAAATTTTGTATTGCATTTGACCACAGGATATAGACCCCTGGCAACAAAATCAAGAATGCGAGGGGACTGTTGTGCTCCACACTCCTGGCCTCTTAAGCTCAGTGGACAGCACTCGCCAGCCCCTGTTGGGAGGACCAAAAGGCTGCTGGGTGCAGGACGCTGAGTGCAGCATGAATGGTGCATACAGTCCTGTGCCAGGCCCTGCTAGCTCTGTCCTCTCCGGGTTAACAGGGAGCCCTGAGTTAAGACCTGGGATAAGAAGGCAGAGCAATGTGGGCTGCCTGGAGGAGGACAGAGAGGCATGAGCAAGAAGGAAAGGGCCGTCCCTTGCTGTGTGGCATGATTTGCTTGTCCTGACCAGGGCCAGGTGCTTAGGTACACTCAGGTGAGCTCCAGGTGCTCCTTTGGCCCCCGGTTGGTTGTGAAGCAGATGGCCAGGGCAGCCCTAAGCACCAAAGGACAGCTGCAGCCACTGGCCTCTGCATGCGTGGAGGCCCAGCTGGCCCTTCCTTCTCCTCTCCCCAGGGTCACATTGTTCAGCAAATAGAAGGCACTGAGTAGCCCTTGGTGTGGCCATCAAGTCCCCTAACTGCTGTTAAGGACCAAGCCAGTCTGGGTCCTTGGGGTAACCTTGGGCCAACTCTGGGGCCAACTCTGGAGAGTGATTTCAGCTATCAAGTGTGTGGGGCAGTACTTAATAAATAATCACATGATAAAATACTGTCAATATCCATAACAGAAAGACGGCCAGGACACCTGTACCATCGTAAATAAATCTGGCTTTTGCTGACACGCGTGGCTGCACCCTAAAACAAGACTGCGGAGCAGCAAGGTGCTGGGGCTCGCTCTTCCCAGGAAATACTTCTCCTTTGTCAGCCCTCCTAGGGGAGGGAGGCCTGAGGCCTGGTGGCTGTCTTCCGGGTGGGCACCCAGTCCCTAACTGGCTTGGTGCCTCCCTGAGGAGGGCGTGAAAGTTGCTGGCATCTCCTGCAGGAAGACATTCCGGGTCCTGCCCTTGAAATTACCAGCAAGCAGAGAACAGTATGTGATCCACATCTGTCCTCCCCTCCAGGAGACACTGCTTTTGCCTACCCAGTAGCAAGGCCATGTTAAGCCGAAGACAGGGTTGCACCCAATTTAGGCATCTATCTCCATGGCTTTTATTTTGATTCATGAATCAGGGCAGCCTCATTCTACGAAACAGATCAAAGTTCCCACAGGGCCACAGCAGAACCATGGGTCTCCTAAGGTGAAACAAGGAAACAGGGTGATTAAAAAATAACGCCCTGATTGGACAACATCCAGTTACTTTGTTTTGGGCGAGGGTCAGAGGGCCTCCGTGTTATGCCAGCTCCAGTAGGCTGGAAGGTCTTGTGTCCTGGAGGAGCTGTGCTATGCTCGGCCTGTCTGCTTCCTTAAAGCTTCAGTTTGATGGTGGGGTGTTGGGCATGAGCAGCTGTGTTTTGATCTGGTCTGGTCTTTGGAGAGCTTTGTCCAAATGATGACCTCTATCATTTTGTTTACCATGTCGCTCGGGACAACAGGCTGGTAGTGCCTCAGAAGGGACAGGTGGAGACTCTTTTGCAGAAGACCTGTTCCTTTAGGGTAGATGTACTTACTCTCCAGGACTCCAGGGACGACAGAGGCTGGGAGGCCCTCTCCTCCTTCGCACATCTGGCTTTCTCTTATTTCCTGTATGTTATACCACAGCCTCAGCACCAGGACAGTGTCCTTGGGTGATGGCTGGTATCTGCCCTGAGCAGCTAAAGACCAGGCCACGTTCTTCCCCTCATCCCTGAGCACACTCATTCTGCCTGAGGTGCCCTTGACTTTTAGGGGCTTTTTCTCACAGGCTGCATGAAACTCAGTCTCTGGTGTATGTAGGTGGTAGCCCATTTCTCAGATGGTCATACTTGTGAATTTCTTTCCTGTATCTTCGTAGTCAAAGGCTGCTCCCAGCAGCCACACTGGGTGGTTGGCACTGCAAAATGTGAATGAACAGCTTTTTTTAAGTCCACGGAATAAATCCAGGCTCATGCCACAGACGCCAATTTAAATGCACCGTTGAAGGCCCACACATTATTCCAGGAAATTGATCTATGCAGGATGTGGCTCATTGTTATGGTGAGATCTTCTAAGCCTATCCAGATCACAGCTGATGGTTTTCGGGCTTTAAAGACATTGAGGGACCATCAGTGTGAACTTGGACACTGTTGAAGAGCAGGACCTGTGATCTTGCAGATGGCAGGCTCCTCAGAAACGCATGCCTGCCCTCACAGCTGTGTGCTGCCCCCAGGTGGAAGCCAGAGGGCTTGTAGGGAGCACTGCATGAGGGAGAAATGAGCCTTTGTCCTCTGGCCCTGTCTCGGAGGGAGCCCTGGCATCCGCCTCTAATAGCCTGTGTCCCCTTCTTTCTCAGCCTGTCACATTCTCGAGTGCTGCGATGGGCTGGCCCAGGATGTCATTGGCTCCATCGGACAAGCCTTTGAGCTCCGGTTTAAGCAATACTTGCAGTGTCCTTCCAAGATTCCGGCCCTCCAGGACCGGTGAGTAACACTGTGATGTTGCTGGTGTGGCCTCTGTGTTTTATGACACTTTTTTCTCCTCTAAGGCATCTCCCCCGGCTGTGCAGTGGACAGACCCAACTCATCAAAGAGCTTCCTGGGCTGGCGGACACCTGCCGGGTGCTGGATCTGCCCCGGAAACCAGAGGGAAGCCCACTACGCTCTGTGCATGTAGAAAATAGTTTCTTAAAATTATTGTGCTGGTAGCCACGATGACCCTGAAGCGACTTCATTTGTCACTCTGTTTCTTGTGCACCAATGTGATTTTTTCATGTGTCTCCCTTGGGTCTACCTTCACAGGTCCCTGTAATCACAGTCGGCTGAAGTCCTGCTGCACGGGGCTCTTCCGCTGGTGTCAGCATCGTCCCTGCTTCCATGGCCTTTGTGGCCTCACAGCTTTGGGACTTGTTTGATGCGTGGCCCCGGGAGCCTCCTCAAACTCTGTGAGCCTCAGAAGCTTCAGCTGTAGACAGGAATAATAGTGGCCTGGCGATTGTTTTAAGTGTTAAGTGAAACAGTGACTATTGAGAGCAATTGGGAAACAGTTCACTATGAAGAGTGCAGAGAGTTTCCCGGACACAAGACTGTTCCAGGCACCGTAGCTCCCTCGGTGTTCTGCCCCTGAACCTGTGAGCACTGTGTCCGGGAGGAACTCGCACGGTGAAATCTATTATCTCTGTAAGCAAAACTTGACTTCCCCTAGGCTTTTTTCCCCACTTTTTTTTCAGTAGTGAGTCTGGAACCCATGGTCTAGCATGTACTGGGAAAAGTACTTTACCTCCGAGCTACATTCCCAGCTGCTTTTTACTCCTTTCAAAGCTGTGAAGCCATGTTCTGTGATGGTTACATGAAATGCACCTGGATTCCTTTGTTCTGATGGCTCCTTCTCTCTCCTCTTCAAAAAAGACTTAGTTTCTACAAAGAGACTTTTAATTGCTTTCTTTCATCTTCTGGAAAGTTCCCTTTGAGATACTCTTTTGGAAGGTGCCTGGAAAGGACCCACTTTTCCCAGCTGACAGGGAGAGGTGTCCAAAGGGGTTTAGTGCAGGGAAGTTGAATTGTCTGTTTCTCTGGGAGTTTTGGTAAAGTATAGACCTCATAGAAAATATATAGTCAGATAATTTTGTCCATTCTGAAAACCCCTGTCTTTTATTTGGAGAATTTAAAGCATTTATATTTAATGCAGTTACTGTTAAATTAGGATTTTCTCCTGCCATTTGGTAAATTTTTTTCTTCAGATGCTTGTGTTTTCTTCATTATTGCACCTTTGAATGCTTTTCTCTGTCTCTCTGTCTCTCCTCTCCTTTGGGGACACCGTTACATGGATATTGGTGTGTCCTCGAGCCTCTGAGCCTCTGTTCATCTTTCCTGGATATTTTCTTTTTCTGTTCCTCTGTCTGGTTAACCTCAACTGACGAACCTTTAAATTCTTTCATTATTTCTTTTGCTTCTGCAAACTTGATGTTAAATTCTTAAATAATTTTTAAACAATCTGGTTATTAGAACTTTCAACTCTAGAAAATTTTATTTGACTCTAAAATTATTTCTGTGTCCTTTTTGATATTTGCTATTTCATGAGGCATCATTCTTGTGTTTGGTTTTTATACCTGGTTTCTTTAGTTCTTTGAACATAGATACTTTAGAGGCTTAGTCTGAGTTTTCCATGGGACTGTTCTCAGTGCCTAATTACCTTTTCTTGTTTATATACTTTATTTTTTGGCTGAAACTGGAAATTTAAATAATGTAATGTGACAGCTGTGAGCCAGATTTCTCCCCTTTCCCTAATTTACTGTTGTCACTAATTGTTTTGGCTGTATATTTTAGTGATTTTCCTGAATTGAGTCCATGAAACCTGTATTCTTTGTCATATACATTCATTAATGGCTCTGCTTGGTTAGGCATTTTGCTTTACTAATGTTTCCTTAACTGTCTGGAGCCACTGAGTCCCCAGTCTTTCCCAAGGTGTGTGTGTGTGTGTGTGTGTGCACGCTGGGGCACTCTCTCCATGTGCCGCCAGACAGCTGACAGCTCTGGCTTTGCCTCCACTTCCTGCTGGTGCAGAATCCCAGAGTCATCCAGAGGGGAGAACTTGGTCTTTTCACCTCTGCTCCAAGTAGATACACAGCCCAGCACGAGGACTACCCTACACATGCCTGTGGCTTTCTAGATCCCTAGGAACTGATTTGGAGCTTATTAAAAACTCCATGGAAAACCCATTTCCAACTTTTTCTTTTAGGAGATACCTAATACCATGCCTGATCCAATGTTATCCATTGCCTCTGGGAGCCATAATGTTAAACAACTGCCTCTCATTGTTTTCGACAAATACCTGTGAGAGGAGAATTTTTTTGTATCATTGGGTAAGCTCAGAATCAGGTCAAATAAAGATGGTCTTGGGAAGTGCAAAGAAATGATAAATGTGTAACAAAACATAAATGCTAATTATTCTGGTTTTATCATTACATATTGTAAAAATGTATGTGATTACCATGCTCTATGCCATAAATATACACAATTATTAGGTATTAATTGAAATAAACTTAATAAGAGGTAGCTCTGAAAGCTGGATCTTCCAAGGATCGATCATTGGGGTGAAATGATGCTAGGTCTCTGGGGAACAAGCTTTGCCCTTACCTCAGAGCTGTTCTGCCACTTCTGGGCATGGGGCGCTGATTTCCACTTCGACTGAGGGTGGTCACCTCCAAGACTGCCATAGGGTGGAGAAAAGGCAATTGAACATGTCACAAAGACACAGTTCTCACAGTGTCCTTTAAAATAAACATTCTCCAGGTTGCCTCAAGCTTTGGTCAATTTTTAGGATTTTGAAAAAAGTTGATTCTGACCAAAGTTTTTCTTTGGTCATTTTTATTGTTGCTTTTATGCAAGAGAGAATTTTCAAAGGTGCTTACTCTGTCATTTCCTCTGAAGTCATTCAATCTTTTTTTGAAGTTGATTTTATTTTACATAAATTTCATGACTTACTGAAATGTGTATCTGTACCTTGATGGCCCTGGTTTATTTTTAGGCAAAAATTTATTTTTCACAGTTAAAACACATTTTATAGAAAGGGCTTGTCTTGCATCTGCTTTGAACCTTCCAATGGGTAAAATTCTGAGTAGGGCAGAGATTTTGGCGAAACTGCTCATCTGATTTTCATGTACTCGAGAGAGAATGGCAGAGTGACACAGCCTAAGCTCTCTTTTCTTGGCAATTGGTACTGCGTTAGGTCATTTTCATTACTGTAACAATGTGCCTGAAGCAAGCTGACTTTATAAAGAAAAGAGCTTTGTTTAGCTCCAAGTTGTGAGGGGCCAGGGCATAGTGTTGGCATGTATGCAGCAAGATGAGGACCCTTCTGGCCACATCACATTGCTGGTGAGAACACACGAGAGTGAGGAGATCGCCTCTGGAAGCAGGAAGCCAGAGCTGACCTGGGCCCCACAATCCCTTCTCAGGACAAGCCCTGAGCTCCCTGCAAACCTCCTTCTAGACTCCACCTCTTGAAGTCTCACCTCTTCTTCCCAATGCCGCTCACTGGGGACCAAGCCTATGACACATGAATCTGGTGGATGAGGGCGGTGTCTCACATGAGCATTTCTAAAGTACAGCAGATACTGATGGTAGGTTTTCTGGGTTGGCCTGCAAGCCCAGCTTTTGGTGAAAGCCCCTGAAAATCTCCTTTGAACAGAATGCAGAGTCTGGATGAGCCCTGGACAGAAGAGGAGGGAGACGCCCCCGACCACCCCTACTACAACAGCATCCCCAGCAAGATGCCTCCTCCAGGCGGGTTTCTCGATGCTCGACTGAAAACCAGACCCCAGGCTCCCGACACAACCCAAGTAAGCCTTGTGTCTTTCTCCTTGTCAAGGCTCCCCGAGCTTCATTGTATTTTCTTCGGTTTTACTTCAGGCAGACATTCCCTTTAGCTTTTCTCACAACCACACAAGCTTCTTTCACTGGAATTCACAAAGCATACGAATAGGAGAGGCTTTTGTTTGATATAGCAGTGCATCAGCCGAGTGCCTTGGAATTATACTGTGATTCCTGAGACATGAGTCTGAGGCGACTTCTCCATCCTAGGACTCATCCCATAATACCTTAAACCTTCAGGACAGAAAGCGAGAATTCAAGATTGTTAAAAGCCCTCTGAAAAGGGCTTTTAATTTACGAGAATTGTATGCATTTTTCTATTTCCTTCATTCCCCTCCAACTCAGAAATTTCCTATTTATTCAAAATTGCTATCTAGCATTATGCTATCTCTGTCTTGTTGGATGATTTTTTTTCCTAGTTTTCTTTTTTGTGAACCCAGAGCCTCATGCATGCTAAGAAAGCATTTTACCCCAGCCCTAGAAACTTTTAAACATTGCCTATTCATGCAAATAACAATGACATCAGTAAAAATGGCAGAAAACTCAGAGCCCTGATGGAGAGGGGGACTCCTGGTTTTGGTGCAGTGGATCCCTGAGCGTAGATGACTGGGTGTGTGGGCGAGAGGTGGGCTGTGGCTCACAGGTGCTGCGGTTGAAGTTCACTTCGGTGCACCTGGGGTGAAGCAGCTATTTAGAAAGAGCTCATTTTACAGTCCCAGGGAGGTCACGGGACCATGCAAACCAGTGCGAGCACTCGAGGTCCAATGAACAAGTTGCCTTTCCCTCACTCCCACACGGACTGATTTGTTAAATTTTAATGTAAAGAGAAAACTGGGAGTAACAGGATGTGATCAACCCACCAATATCCAGGCCAGGTTGGCTTTTTCTTTCATACTGGGGAATGAACCTGGGGTCTTTGCATTGAACTACATCCTTAGCCATTTGAACATTTTTATTTTGAGGTAAGTTCTTACCAATTTGCTGACTTGCAATCTTCCTGCCTCAGCCTCCCAGAGTTCCAGGATTACAGGTGTGCACTACCCAGATGGGGAATGACAAGAGGATACTTCCTTTTTTTTCTTTGTACTTACACCTGTCTGTAGTTTGCAGGGAAGGAGCAAACTTATTACCAGGGAAGACACTTAGGAGATGTGTTTGGCGAAGACTGGCAGAAAGCACCCAGCAGGCAAGGTGAGCATCACGAAACACACCCAGGGCAGGGAGGCACTAGCCAGCGGGTCACTGCTTTCTGCAGGTAGTAGTGTGGGCGCCTGGGAATACCTGCTGTGGGCCCCGTGAGACCAGGGAGACACAGCAGTGTGGCACCCAAGCCCCTGCAGTGCCCATCAGCATCGGTGCCCTGCAGGCTGACCTCGTACAGCCTCCTCTGCCCTGAGTGCTCACCCTCCCCAGCCTGGTGCAGGGCTGCTGAGGAACCTGCACTCACCACCCCTTAAGGGAGCTGGAAAGGCGGCTCTCGGGTGTGTTTTACACCAGAGAGCTCCAAGGTCTCCCGCAGGGCGAGCCCCAGAGCCCCCCAGAAAATCGTTGCCTTCCCTCCCTCCTCTCACTGGGCTTTCTTTCTTCCACCTGGCTCGGGACGGCTTTAGGAGGGGCGCAGACACCTCCCTCCCTCAGCTGCTGGCTGCCCAGTGATGGCAGAAGCAGCACCAAGGGTTCAGATCCCTCCAGGGCCCCTCCAGGACACATCTGTGTTTTAGCAAATCCAATACTGTATCACTTGCAGAAAATAACTTAGATGGAAGCTTCTAATTAGGTGCAACTATACCTTGTTTAGATATACCAGCTATCTAGATATTTAACAATATTTAGGGGTATCTGCATAGAACTATAAAGTTTTCTTAAAAATAGCTAAGGACCACTAACTGTTCAGATAAGCTGTCATCCACAGTTATTAATACATGCGTCATGGGACGCGTCCGTCTTTCCTTCCTCACTCCTCCCCCCTTCCTTTCATTGGTTGATCAGTTAATGGGTTTATTCACCCATCTATCCATGTAATCTATCTCTCCTTTAAACATTTCTTCTACTTTAAAAATTTCCCCATTTCCTGCAGGCCTGCTACTAATTCTAAAGGTCGTAATGAGATGGATCCAGTGATTCCTCCATAAATATAAATTCACCCCTTTATTGGTTTATCCCTTTATTATAGAATGTTTGAGCCAGGGAGCAAATGACAACGAGCTTCTCATATTTTCTCTGGGAGAAAGGATGCCAAGAAAGACCTCAGGACTGGTCCAGGCGATGAGATGTAAGGCCTGACTAAATGCAGCATGTGACTGTGCCTCAAAACTGAGTAGAAGTAGATATATTTCTGCCAGAGGTACTTTTCCACTCTGAGCTCTTCACCTCTGTCCTATATACATTTACATGTAGTCGGATAACATATGCGTGCATAGATAGAGACTAACGAGGACTCGTTATTTCTCCCAGACATTTCCCTTATTATAAACTATGTCAGGTTTATTTAAAAGTTCTTTTGGCAGGGTATATTTACAAATTATTGCAGACAGGTCTAGGACAGAGAATTCAGCAGACTCATCAGGACAAATGAGCCCTGGCCTGACTGTGAGACTCATAACTCTTAATAAATTTCAAACTCTTATTGGAAAACAGTACATGTTTTTCCATAGAACAAATATGGACAACGTTCATTAATTTGCCGGTAGCCCCTCCTCTTAGACAAAGACAGACCCCAGGTGCCACTGTGACATACGTCAATCTTCCTGGTCCCCCAACTGCTGTCATTTGCAGTTGGAAAGCCTGGCAGGAAGGTCACTGGTGGGGCTTTCAATGTTATCTTTCCCAAAATTAGTTTGTAAAGTTCTTTTCGAAAGACAGATTTGTTTGCAGTATCTACAAACCTGGAAACTGCAAGCAGCAGTTGCTGTGTTAGGGCAGGTGATGAAGGAACGGCCGTTTAGATGTGAAAATCACGTACAAGAAGAAAGCAGAAGCATGAGGGTTCCTGGTTTTGCAGATGCCGGGCAAAGAGCAGCCAGCACAGCACCTCTTGTCTTAGGATCTGGCTGGGGGGCCGTGGGGTGCCGGCACGTGTCCAACGACAGGCCCTTGGGAAAGATTTTTTTTAAAGCCTCGAAATGACTTGCCAGCTCCGCTGAGCTGTCTGTGACATCACTGCCCTGGGGTATGAAATAGACCCTCTTTCCAGAAACGTGAATGTCCGGAGCGTTCCCCTGGAGACACTTGTGTAAGTGGCTTGGAGGCAGAGAATGAACGGAAGAAGGACTGGAGTAGGCATTCTTGGACAGCACCTCTGATGCTACCTATGGGGGACAGGATGGTTGGGACCCCAGAACTGGCCTTTGCACTGCTTCAGTCAGCTAGGAAGCGCATGGGCAGCGTCACTGCCTCAGAGGGGAGACACCTCCATCCCGAGGCCAGCCTGGGTCCTGGGCAGGGGCAGCTGTGCTTTGTGAGGAAGGTCCCTCCGTGTGTTAGGAGATGGTCCATAAATCAAAGCGTTCACTAATATGTAACGAGAGCAAGGAAACTAAGCTCTGCCGAGGTCTGGGGACAGTGTTCCTCTGCAAGGCTCCTAATCCACATGGTGTCCACACAGACATTGGCTGGAGGTTCCGTTTCCATAGGGAGAACCAGGAGACCTCCTCACCAGGTGCTGTTCAGATGGAAAACATCATGGAAAGCCTTGTCTGTGCAGAGGGTGATTGGCTAACGGGGCCGATGGCTGACCCGTGATGAGCAGATGGGTCCGGGTGGAAGGGTCGCTGGTGGTGTTAGCCGGGGGACATCTCCCTCCTGGCTCCTCCCTGCCTCTGTGCGGCTTTCCTGCACTCTGTCCCACCTGTGCCTTCCCTCCTTGGAGCCAGCCAAGCATGGACTAAACACTCCGGACGAAGGAAGGCTCCCCTGCTTTAAACTGGGGGCTTGGGGCATTTTGTCCCAGTGATGTGGGCAGTGACTGAGACATCAGGGCATAGCAAAGACAGGTGGCTTAGGAGAGGAAACCTAACTGGTGGTGTTTTCTCTGCAGAAAGGATGTTCTGAGGTATGAGCAGGCTTACAGAGCCCCCAGGCAGTGCTGGCTGGCTCAACCACAGGATGTGCAATGAAGAAAAGGTCGCTTTCTTGTTGCAGGGTCCTTCGACGTCTACAGCGCTCTGGAAGGGAAAGCGCCTGTGCCTATGGTGGGAGAAGGACCCACCTATGTCAACACCCGGCACATCCCCCCACAGGCCCGGCCAGCCACGGCCAGCAGTGCCGAGAGCAGCCCACGGAAAGACCTCTTTGACATGAGTAGGCCTCCCTGTCTCTCCTTCTCTTCTCTGCTGAGATTGCTTTCTAGCACTTGTAATTAGTGAGCTTTCTGCTCGTGGGGCTTGGACTCAGTGAGGATTCACAGCACTGTTCTGGGCTACAACTGGGATTACAGTATTCTTTGGAATCAAGAGGCAGAGCCAACTCCCCACTCTTCTTGGAGTTGCATTTCCTCTTGAAGCTCTGCAAATGTATGGAGACAAACAGTTGACCCCACTTACTGTGTTCATTTGCTTAAATATCAGCTTAAATTACACCAACTATGGCATCCTTCGCTGTGGATGCCAGGGTGAAGTGACCCATATTCTCAGAGCTCCCCACCACCGAAGGAGACCAACACCCGGTGTAAACAAGAGAGTGTGGGACATCGCTTTTCTATGCATGTTCATTCTTCCTTCCCCCATCTCCTCTCTCATTTTGCTCTCATTCTCTCTGTCCCCCTCACTGCTCCCCAAAATGTATTAAGCAGTTACCCTGTGTCACATACTTTTCTATTTACTGAAGAGATACAGGAAAACAAAACAGTCCTTGCTCTAAGGAGAATGAAATATACTAACTACCTAGGACCAGCCAATGAGAAGGCTTTTGCAAGTGATGGAAGAGGCCAAGGAGGGCGGCTGGGAATCTCCTGTAGAGGGCAGCACTGTGGGATGTGGCCCCACCCCGGGCCGTTTGCCTTCGGATTGGGAAAATTAAGGCATTTGCAAGCTGAAATGGAAGGAAAGTGGAAATTTCTTTTTTAAAAATTGAAAAGCTCTTCCAAAGCTCACTGAGAGCTTGGTAGCTTGAATTTTTTAATTCCTTAAGAACTTGCCAGGCCAATGGGGGCGGGAGCAGATGGGTGCTGAATGAGTTTCTTCTGTGTGTGAGGTCCTGGTGATTTTATTTAATAGGTAGGTATTATGACTGTTCCATCACTATTTTATGGAATCCCAGAGGCTAAGTAACTTTACTGTGAGGAAAGGCAGCTTTCTCATCCAACACTTGCTGCTCCTATTGGGTGAGGACAAGGTCATGTGCCTTTGTAATATTTCAAGGCAGCGCCTGACAGCCACACTGTGCTCCTCGCAGACGCTAAGGACTTAGACTGCAAAAGACACCTGAGCCGGAAGAATGTTTAGAGAGGCACCACTCAGGTCACTTAGTCCAAGCCCTGCATTTAAAAATGTGGAAACAGCCCAGGAAGTGTGAAACCATTTTCCCAAGCTGCAGATCAGAGTGGTGGAGCCCCAAAGCCCCCCACTTCCGTTATCACATCATCTTCTGGCTACAGCCAATTTCCCTACTTAATTTTGTCATTGTACCAGACTCCTGAGGAGAGTTATGCAGCACTTGGCTGGGATCTGAGAAAAACAAGAGCCACCAATTAATTTCTACTTCTCTTGAACCAGAGGACAGCAGATGAAACAGAAAGGGCTACAGAGATGCCAGTGCCTTCTGCAAATCATTGGAAGCAGAGCCAGCACTTTGTTTATCTGGGACCACTAGGATTAAGTGATACCAGTAGTGGTGACAGTGGTGATGATGTGAGGAGGAAGATGATGGTGGTGCACTATGGTGGTGATGTGGTAACAAGAGCGTTCGACTGTAATGATGGTGACAGTAGATGATGATGGTGATGATGATGGTGATGAAGATGGTGTCGGTGTTGGTGATGACGGTAATGGCAGTGAGAGTGGCGGTGATGGTGGCGGTGATAGCAGTGGTGATGGTGATGGTGGTGGTGGTGATGATGGTGATGGTGGTGACAGTGATGATGATGGTGGTTATGATGATGGTGGTGAAGGTGGTGATGGTAGTGATGATGGTGATGATGGTGATGGTGGTGACAGTGATGATGATGGTGGTTATGATGATGGTGATGGTGACGGTGATGAGGATGATGGTGATGGTAGATGTGGTGATAACTGTAATGTGGTGACAATATTGATGGCAATGCTGTTGGTGATGGGAATGGCTAACTGTGATGTGATTTGGTGATAACAGTGGTGATTGGAAGATGGTGACAATAGTGATGGTAATGTTGGCATGAATTGAGAGACTGTCAGTGAAGTGAATGTGTAGATGATGGTGATGATACCAAAGGCGAGGATGATGTAGAAAGAGTATTACACAAATGTTCAGTAACTCCAGGTAATCAGATAAAAAATAAAAGAGAAATCCCACAAATATAATTTTAGCAAACAGTTTTGTCACCATGTGGAGTCTCTTCCCACGCTTGGTCCACCCTGCGGTCACAGGACTGCTAACCTTCCTTGCAGAAAAAGAATTTTCAGGATGCATCAGAAACATGAGTAGGATTTACTAGGTAAAGACACAGCAAAAGCATTTATAGAGCAAAGCAGAAATCAGCCTTTGTTATAAAGTGAAAGCAAACAGCCCCCAGGCAAATGAACCTGGGAGGGGGCCCAAAAAGGGTTCCCCAAGGAACGCTTCTGTCTAAGGGTCTTTTCACCTAAAAATGATTGTACTTCAGCCAAGTAGAGATCAAACTATGGGTTACAGTCAGGAAAGACTGTTGTAGAAGTAGACCTAGAGGAGCCCAGGGCATGTACTTTACAAGCACCACTAACTGAATTTTAAACAGAACAAAGACATTCTGTGGATCATGCAACTATCTTATACCTGGGCATGAAAATCTCTACAGTCCTATGAAGCCTTGGTTTGTGGAGCCCCTGGGCGCCTGGCCTTTGTCACCAGTGTGTCCTTCAGTGGATCTGTTTGGCTCCCTGTTTGGTGTGGCCCTCTCCCGCTGGCCCTTTTGCCTTCCCACAGTGCCCCACACACCCATGCACCTGCTGGGCTCCTCTTTCATCGAGCCAGTGTGCGGCCTTCAGCTGTGTCCTGGAGGTTGTTGTCCTCTTATGAGGGACAATTGCTAGTTATGATTTCCTTGTTTTCTCTCTACCTTCTATTTCTTCATCCTACCTCATTTCTAAATTCTGTTTATCCCCACATCTGTAAAAAATTTAGCAACTGCCAAAAAGATCCAAGATGGGTTTCACACAGTCACCTCTCTTCTTTTCGGCTTCTACTGACATTTATTGAACGAGCCTACGTTGAATACTTAGAGCCCAGACTGTGTCCTGGGAACAGTGTGGGGCTCTGGAGCAGCGGCTGTGTCTGGGCAGAAGGAATTCTGTCCTTGTGGTACTTGTGCTTCAGTGGATGGGCAGCGTGATCCCAGGTGACCACCATAACACCTTACAGTTGCATAGTACTGTGTGCTTCTCAGAGCACCTCGTGTCTACTGACTTACTGGAAAAGTGAACTTTGGGATTTGGTGAAATGTGCTTGGCCACTCGTACCTCATGCTGTTAGGAACTGCACCATTCCCAGTACCCAGCAGTGGGAAGTGTGCTCCAGAGGGGATGAAGCCAAGCCCCATGGCAACAGCTCGAGTGAAAGCTGTTGCTATAGGGAAATGGATAAAGCAAAGGGGAGGCCGTGTGCCTGGCCCACAGCAAGTCACCCAGGAGGAGCTCAGGGGTTTCAAAATACACCTCCACTGGGCTGGGTTTAGGTTTGCATTAAATTCTAGCTTTGTAGCTGCATCTTTTTCTCTGGACGTAGTGAGATTTTATTCAGAATTTTTTAAGGAGGCCAGCTGGTGTTCCTAGGAAAGGAGACCATGTGAAATACACATGGCCTCCCACAGGCTCCCTAGACCATGAGTGTGTTGTGCTTGCCCCTTTGGCACAGATCAGAGCTCCCAGCTGCAGGGGGAGAGCAGACTCACAGGAAAGAGGGGTGCCAGAATTGGGAGTGTGTGTTTAAACACTTGTCATGCTGACTCTCGTTATCTCCTGTCTGGAGGAGGTCCCTGTGCATTTGCGTCTCTTGCATTACATTTTTGCAATCTGCTCTTTCTGGGATTGACACTTTGCTGGCCAATCTTGTCATTGACAGAGCCTTTCGAAGATGCTCTCAAGAACCAGGCCTTGGGGCCCGTGCTGAGCAAGGCTGCCTCCGTGGAGTGCATCAGTCCGGTTTCACCCAGAGCCCCAGATGCCAAGATGTTGGAGGAGCTGCAAGCTGAGCCTTGGTACCAGGGGGAGATGAGCAGGAAGGAGGCAGAGGGGCTGCTGGAGAAAGATGGAGACTTCCTGGTCAGGAAGAGCACCACCAACCCCGGCTCCTTCGTCCTCACGGGCATGCACAACGGGCAGGCTAAGCACCTGCTGCTGGTGGACCCCGAAGGCACGGTGAGGCACGGGTGGGGGCTTCCGGTCAGCTCCCCTCACCTTCAACCAGCTCTGCTTGTCCAGAGCGCCTGCCAGGGCAGAGGAGTTTTGCCTGCAGGTCAGAGCTGGGCAGCTATTGTCAGTGGTCAGGGCTGCATCTGAGTCAGAAAAGTTGGAAAATTATTACAGCCCAGGCTGAGAGTGTTGACTTTTACGTCCTTTAAGATAAATAAATACAGAAGCTTTGGCTTACTGTATGAAGATTTTAAAAAATGTTGGTCCCCATCCCATGCCATATTCAGAAGTACATTTGGTTGCAGTTAAAATCTAAATGTGAAAGACAGAACTATAAAGCCATAAAGAGAATTATTAAGAGCAAAATCTCAAAAAAGAACGTTTTTCTTCCAGACACTTTCCCAGTAGACAAGGAAAATGGGCCTCTGGGATTTTAGGACACATCTGAAATTTATAAAAGTTGAATCACTGAGATTTTTATATGTGTTGGAAAATATGATAACCAGTGAGTGACACTCCCATAATTAGCTGCTTATCCTCCCACTCACACAGGTCACGCCTGGTGACACTGAACTTAGCCCTTGCTGTACAGGTGTAGCAAAATAATTCTACAGCTCAGGCTGCATTGTCTGCCTTCAGGCAACAAATATACCTGGCTTCACCCTGGGCATAGCTCAATGAATGCTCAATTTAATAAGTACAGTTAGATCAATTTAACCAATGAGTGGATCCCAGAATTGTGTAAATCTTCTTATCCAATGAGAGCAAAAATGCAAGGTAGATTATGTAAACGATTGATGGGAGAAAGGAAGCTCCGGTCTTCAGCTGGACTTGTGGGGGCACAGGTGGGCGGAGGAGCGGGTTACCTGGGTCATTGTCACCCAGGCATCTAGACTGAGGGGCTAGCACACTTTTGGCTGTGATGCTCTTGAAATATCAGGGTCTGCCAGTTCCTCTTCCCTCTCCACTGAAGCAACACTTCCCCTAATGAATGTGACCTCTTCCTTCCAACCTGCCTTCAGGATATACATATACGTATACGTATTTGCATACGTATACGTATACATATACATGTACATGTACATATACATATGTGTATTTCTTTGTCTCGACCCCAGAAGGTGCTTTGAGACACGTCAGCGGTGCTTTCTGTACTTCAGCTCGTTGCTGTAGTGGGCTGCCTGGCCTCTCTGTTGGGTGCATTCCCTTGCTCACCCCTCTGGGGGAGGTGTCTCAGCGGCTACCAGTCTCACGCATGATTCTCTCTGTGCCGAGATAGGTCTCACCGAGACAGGTTCGTGGAGTAGAGTTTGTGGCCAGCAGAACTGCTTGCATTGGTTTCACTAGGGTTTGCAGCTGCTTCTGTGTTAGCTGGGCCATAGAGCCCTCCTCCCCGCATACAGCGAGGGCTCACAGCGTCACTCCTCCTCCACAGAGTGGACTTGTTTTTCCAATCTGCGGGAGTGAGGAGTAGAGGGAGGTCTGGTGGGCTGATCTGCAGTTCTCCGAGTGCAGTCATTAGCAAGGTAGCAGGTTAGACTAGAAATCTGGAAATTTTAAATGCCCTCATCTTTTTCTCATGCTTCTCTTTTGACTTTCTTACTGGGTTTTCTTGTTGAATTTTTTTTTGGTGGGGGGAGTACTGTTCTTTGTTGTTGTTGTCTTTTTTTTGTTTAAATGATTATTTTGTCTGTGATATTGTTCATCAAGCAGAAGTCTTGCTGGGTGTGCTGGTAGACTGAGGCAGGAAGGTTGCCATGAGTTTGAGGCCAGCCTGGACTACATAGTGAGACTTTACCTCAAAACACAACAACAACGTCAATAACAAAACAAAACAAATGGAAATCTTTCTTTGAAACGCATCCAAATCCATCAATGATTCCTGTTTTGGTTTCTGGTTTTGAGTTTTAAATTTTCCTTTATCCATAAATTGTAAATATATCATATTCTGATATTTTATCTATTAGTCTTATAGTTTCATCTTTCACAATTAGGTTTTAATTCCAACTGGCGGTACTTTAGAATACAATGTGAAATACACACCCGACTTTTTTTGTCCCCAAATAGTAAGCCTGTTTTGCTTTTGTCACTGTTTGCCAAAAAGTTCCTTTTCCCTGCTGCTCTTGATGCCGCTTCTGTGACACAGGGAGCCCTCCGTACCTTGGAGCCGTGTTCCGTGGGTCCACTGCTCGCTCCTCACCCTTCCGCAGGCGCTGTTCTGTTGCAGTCATGGGGCTCTGAAGCTGTCGTAATGTCAGGGGGTCTGGGTCCTTCCTGGTGCCTCCCTTTATCTAAAGGGTCTCAGCTTTTCTTAACCCTTTGTTCTTCATTTAGACTCACTTTGTCAAGTCATCACAACGTGCTAAGATTTTGATAGGATTTGCACTGACGCTGAGAAATAATGTGGGGACAAGCAAGCACTTCTCAGTGTTAGATCAAAATATTCCTGAATATGGCCCAAGCCTCCACTTACTTTGCTTTTAATGTGTCTTTAACAGTTTTTGAATTCCCTCCAGAAAGTTTTTCCGCTTATTTCTTTAGGTTGTTTCCTAGCGTGTCTACCTGTTACAAAGGGTACATTATCTTAATTACATTTTTCAGCAATGGCTGCAGTGGGACGGGAAATGTGGTATGCTCTCAGGCCCAGACATTTCTCTAGTTCCAGTCGTTTTCCTGGAACACTGTCCCTGCCTTTATAACCTTGGCAGCCTGCCTCCTGCCTGCCAAGACTGTCCTCACACCTCATTGTGTGGGGCACCTTTGAACACTGACCAGAAGGAGACACCCCTGTCAACCCTCACCTGAAAGGGAAGGGTTCTCGACTGTTCCATTAAGAAGGTTTGATCCAGGCATGGTGGTGCACACGTGTAATGCCAGCACTCAGGAGGCTGAGGCAGGGAGATGGACATGAGTGTGAGCCTCGTCAAGGATGCGCAGTGAGACTCTGTCTCAAAGAACAACAACAACAACCAAAAAAAGAAGGACAAGAAGGAGACAAGAAGAACAAAAAGGAGACTTGCAGCAGGCTTTGGCGCACTGTCCTTTTCAGCTTAAAAGAATCATCCATCCATTCATTGAGCAGATACACGCTAAATGCCACTTAACTCCAGCTACCATTTTTGGCACCTGGAATGTATCTGTGAACCATTTAAAAAGAAAAATTCTGCTCTCGTAGGATTGACATACGCATTATTACATAGTTACTCTTATCATCTGTGCATGTTAAAGTGCATCAAAGGCTACTTCAGCATCCTCTGAGATAATAATGTGGTTTTTTCCTTAAATCTACTGAAATGCAGAATTATATGGGCAGATATTTTTTCCTGATATCATGATTGCATCACAAATACTACTCTGTGTGACATACAGTAACTGTGGAACGTGTTGTTGGATTTTCTGAAAGGAGTTTTGGATCACGTATTCATAAGTGAAGCCCGCCGTAATGTCTTCATCACTCTTGCGTTTGTGTGCTCTGCTGGTCGCAGACAGTGATCTAACTTTTGTCTCAGACAGACCCCCGGATATTCCTCCTGTCCTTATTCTCATTTATTTTTTATTTAACTTACTCACCACTAACAAGCACTTGTTAACTTACTTACAGTTTGCTTCCCACATGTAAGCGCTGTATGGAGGGCTGGTGGGTGCTGCATGAAACTGGCACAGCTTGGCATCACGGCCCAAGCTCCTCTCCTGGCAGATCTGTCTGGCAGTCGATTCTCATAGGAGCAAAAGCCTAGGATGAGCTGTGCACATGAGGACTCTAGGTTGTGTCCTCCTGTGAATCATCCCAGAACCAATCCCCTGTCTCTTCAGCCATAGAAACATTCCCTTCCACTACACTGGTCCCTGGTACTAAAAAGCCCCTAGACCACAGTCTCCGTAAAGGTAGAAAGTTGTTAATGGCAGTGGCCCTCATCTCCTGGAGTAGTGCTGGCATGCTACAGGTTTTCAGTGAGTATTGGGTGAATACTTGATCAACTCAGGTTCCGACTCACTAAGAATTGAGTCTCCATGGAGGCTCCTGGGCATGGGGATGGGGCAAGGATTGCACCTCTTAGCAGGTGTAGAATCACAAATACAGTTTCTAAAACAATTAGCCCAGGCTCCTTCTACTTACTTAAGGTGTATAACAATTCGATCATGATTATCTAAAAGAAAATATGCAAGCAATTGAAAATGTTTGGCATTTAAAAACATGAAATGTTAAAAAATAACTACCAAAGGATGTCACAATATAGAACAAAGCTGATTAAATTTTTTAATTCACTCAGTCTTTATGGAGCAAAGAATGCTTTAAAAAGAGATCTGCACTGCTAACAATAAACCCAATGTACATTCACAAAATGCAACAAGAAGGTGTCGACCATGAGGTGTGGCACTGTAACACAGAACACAGTCAGACCAGGCATCCATGCATGCTGGTACCCTAAGTACTGCTACGCGTGAAATGTTAATTTGGGAGGAGAAATCTGCAGTGCCGTGGAGAACATTTGTTGAGTCATACCTAGTAATGACTGTTCTTGGGGGTAGGGTTGCTTAGCTGGATCCGATGATCTGGTTTAATTGATCTATGGAGGATACTGTTGCTGAGAAGGACATGGGGATGGGAGGCTTAATTTAAAATGCGACACTGCTTCCGTGCTGTGAGGACCCCAAAATAGACACCGAACACATTCTCTTCAATATTTATTCATCTGAATTTCATGGTAATTGGTTGGTCCCTGACAAAAAAGGAGGAAATTTGGCAGAGCAGATTCCTCAGAGAAAGAAAGATGCAAAATGAGTCTGCCTCTAAATTCACTCCCGAGTCCACCAGCCCGCCAGCCTCCGGCCCTGCACCGAGGTGGTGGGGCCAGGGGACTAGGCCACCTGTGGCTGCTTCCGGGCCTCCTGGGTAAGGAGTTGAAAATAGAGCTGGTGCCGGGAGAACCCCAGAGAGGCAGTCTGGACCCCCCCTATCTTCCGCTGGTCGACATCTTCTGAATCAGCCAGCCCGCCTGTGTCTA